AAAAACAAGGAACTTGGTAATGTACACTTTACATAAGGGAAGAATCAGGAAGACTGAAATTAAATCCAACAGAGCAACGCCAATGGAACAAAAGCTATGAACAGCAACACTGCCCCTCCAGCCCGGGCCTCCAGCTCGCCCCAACCGGCTCCCAATGGGGGCTGAGCACCAAGGCAAGCGGGTGGGCTGGGGCAGGAGGGGCTGGGATGGGGTTTGGGAGGGGCTCAATCCCAGGAGGGGCCCATGGCAGAGGATCGTCAGAAAACTTCCTGGGATGCCCAAGTAATAAAACAAATGATAAAGGCCCAGAATTATGGGGCCAACTAGCTGCCCAGTGGAGTCTTGGGGGCATCAGAGTAGACAGTGGGATGGTGATAGGGTATATGGATAATTAATGACATGGGTGACCTCAAAGCCCATATAAAATAACTCTTAGCCCTTCTGCAGTCTTATCCTCCCACTCCTGAGGCCAAGTCTTCCCACACCGACCGTGGAGCCTGGAGAGAAGAGATTTAAGAATCACCACTTCATTTCATGGGGTGCCCTCTTAACCCTCCTGCTTGTGGTCCTCTGACCTTGAGATGTGTGGAGAGGATGACATAAGAGAAGGAAATTGCATACATGTTCATATACATGTACCAACGGGGAAAGAGGCTGAATGAGGAAGAAGAGGATGTGAATCTTGAGCAGCAGCTCTCCAAGCCTTGGCTGTCTTTCCCTCTAGCTTCTCTGTGGGGAACCTGACGAGATGTCCAGCAGAGGCCTGGGCAGGGGTGGCGCCAAGAGCGCCTTGGTCTGGTGGTCTGGGCCCTTAGCAGCCACCTTTCCCAGCCTATGCTTATGGAGTGGGGTGGGGTAGAATGGGGATTCTTGCTCCGTGTCTTGTCCCTCTGACCAGGTCATGGGTGCCACAGGTACCCTCACTTGTGTTCCTCCTTCCCATGTAGAGAGGCTGGAGGTGGACAGCAAATCCTTCACTCAGCACTTGTCAAGAATCTGTTTCCTCTATTGCTGCTGCTACTGCTTTGTGCTATTCCAGGGAAGGAAGATTGGACCTGGCAAGGATCTGAGAGCAGGGGGATCAGGGATCAGGAAAAGGCAGTGCTATTCTGCCATTCCTGGCCTTTACCTGCTCTTCTGGGCAGCTCAGCTCCCACTCTTCAAGGGAGACTTGGATATAAGGATCCAAGAGCCAAAAGTTTTATAGGGGAAAAGAAAACAAAAGAAAAAGCTGTTCCCTTCTGTAGAACCCAAGGCTGCCGTGCTAATTCGAAATTTCTTCTCCTCTGTGTTACAGAACAAAGTGGAAAGGGCAGGAATGCAGACCATGCCTGCCCGATGGGAAAAAAATTACTTAAAACGGTTTCTTTACAATATGTACAGATCACGCTGTAAGCCAGCGCCACAGTTACAAAACACACAACAGTATTTAAAAACAAACAGGAACAGAGACAGGCCCTTGGCTTCACCCCACAGGAGTGTGGGAGGGCATAATCAGGCTGAAATTCAGTCATCCTCTTAGTGGTGACTCAGGTTAGGTGGGGTGTCACTTCCACTGTTCAGAGCACTGCCCACTGGGGCAGCAGGAGGCAGAGGGAATGATGGAGGAGAGGGAGGCTTCTTGGGGGCCTGCTAAGAGGTCTAAAATGGTGAGATTTTTGGATGGGCTCAGAACCCAACTTGAATAAAAACGAGAATGTGAAACCTAGAGGAAAGGTCTATAGGTCAGAGGGGCTCCTCTTGGGCAAATGACCCTAAGCCTCTCTAGAGTAGGGCTCTGGGACCTTGGAAAGCAGCCTTTGCTGGACATTGTGCTAACTGCCCTCCACCTCCATGCTCCACACTGTCAGAGCCAAGTACCTGCTTTAAATGGTCACTTTTGGCACTCTGGTCACTAATACCCCTGTGTAGCCTAGGCTGGTGTCTGTCAGTCTTTATTTTCTGTCAATCCAGGTCAAGAACAGATAGGAGAGGAGAAGAACAAAGGGATGATACCTCAAAAGCAAAGTAAGAGCTAAAGCTTCCCACCCCATGGGGAAGAAGTGACTCCAATAAAGCTACCAAAGCATTGTCCCTTCCCAGTACAAAGAGCACAGAGCCTGGACTGAGAGAGCAGAGAAATGTCTGCTGCCTCAAAGCACAGCTCCCACTGAGTACACTCTGTGGCTCAGAGGAGTAATGGCTTGAATATGTTACCCCAGGTCTAAAGAACACATAACCTCCCATGGTCAGTGTCTCCTAAAACAAAAACGTGTGTTACAAAGACACGGCTCATATTGGCACACATGGGGTTATAGACTGAGCTATATAAAACCATATACTTGTATACAGAGGAACCTGGCTATATATATTTGTGACCCTAAATGATGGCTGAATGGACAGGACATTTTTTAAGAACTGCCCCCCGGGCCTTGCCCTGAGGACCCCTGGCAGACTCCGAAGCTCCCCAGGCCGGGGAATACTATTATACCTGCCTGAGTCTTAAGAGCCAAGCAGTGGAAAAGAAGAGGAGAGATCAGTGTGAGAATCCCCCTGGGCACAGGGGTCAGGAGGGAAGAGAGAAAGGGCCAGGTGTTGAGGGCTAAGAAGCAGCAGGACTTAGTGGGGATGCAGTTCTATTTCACAGACTCCATTCGTGCTCCAGCTCCAGCTTACTCCCAGTACCCTTGGGGAGCCCTGTGCTGGTGTGGGGACCCCCAGCCCTCTGCCTGACCAGCAGCCCAAGGCCATGCTGGGCAAGTACCATGGTCTTCTTTTCCAGGCTGGGCTCTGAGCATTTA